TTTAATTATCATTATTAATAATAATAGGGTTTTTGTATTTTTTTTATTTTTATATTTTATTTTAAGCCTACAATTTATTTTGATTTAAAAATTGTTATGAAAAACAATAAAATTGTGTTGTTCTGTTTGAGTTTGTTGGATTTGTTAAATTTTTTATTTTTTGTGCCGGGGGGTCGCTATTTCGCGCCATACTAGCCGTAGCTGAATTCGGAGCATTCTCATTTTACAACACTAGTAACACATTGGCTGGTCTCGTATCTGCCGGTATGGCTTTCGGCCTCCTCACGAAAGTCCAAGCCAGAACCAGAATCCATTGAGTTTTAGCTCCATTAGGCCCTGGCTTAACAGGGCCCAATGCATCAGGGTTCGGGATCTGTTGCAATCCCCTAGGCTCTAATTAAGCTAAAAATCTATTCTCTTCTAGCGCACTAATTCCCTAGCGGATTGAGGCTTGTCATCTACTTAAAAAGTACAAATCTAATAAGAGCGCAGGCAATCCTTCTTAAGGCCCCCATGAGCGGAGAAACTATTACAAGATAACTTGGTTGGATTCTACTAAATCAGAGTATCCTAACAACTCGGCCAACTCATCAGCAGTCATATCTAAAACCTCATCAAAAAGTTCTGTTTGTGTTGGCGACGGATCCACGTATATAGCATACTTAGCCAATTTCTTTAGCTGATTAATAACACTGCGGCAAGAATCTGGGAGACTAGTCCCGACTACCAAGAGCATATCCACCTTCCTCTCATCCGCATACATGTTTCTGAGGGGGTTGAGTATAGGAAAGAGATTGCTATCGAATTCTTGATCATTATCAAGTAGTATCCCCGGTCTCATGCCTTTGACTCCCGCTTCTCCCGGTGTCTCTATTTCGCAATCTAGACATGGCGGAAAGACTCTTTTGCGCAGCAGTTCTTCGTCATCTTGAGTTGCCGGTCTTATGTGGTGCCTTTTTTTGGACTTTCTACAGATCATTTGTCTAAAGTGACCTCGAATCTAGATACATTGAAGAGCCCGATTGTAAGCAAGGACATGGTGATGCCATTTTTACCATCGGCATAGCCTATATCTGGGGCAAACGCACTGGATAGTAATGAACATTAGGAATGAGGCCTGATTTTATTTCGAGCCCATCCATGTTCATGGAAAAAATAGATTTTATTCTTCCTGACTTTTCAAGATTCAGCCATCGATGAAATTTCGTCGGTTCGCATTGGAAAAGTCTCCTCTGTTCACTCGCGGCCCATTCTAGCCACTCGTTCTCTTCAGCGGGACCTGCACCGAAAGCGATGTTCCAGTCCCATTTCCTTCTCGATTCCGTATCATTGTGCCTCTCAAAAGGCTCAATCCCAGCGGCCACGGATACTCCTGCTCCATACAACAAGATTAAGCTCTTCGTTTGGGCTATTCTTCGAACAGACATCGGACCACTAAATTTCAGTTAAAACTTCTTCACAAATTCATTAGCTGCAACATGCAACATGATTTGCCAAACTATTTATACCGATGTAAATGTGATGTTTTGGTATGGTACCCAAAAAGTACAGGCGGTTGTTTTTGTGCCCACCCAACTAGACGTCTAAGAAGCCAGATCTAGGTATCAGGCAAGTAGGTATATATTAAGTGGATCGAAGTTGGACGCAGAATGATTGCAGGGCGTCCTTGGAACAAAGGCAACGGATAACGAATATAGACTTATGCCCGCCGAAACACCAACCGAAAAAAGAGAGTTGATCGAAGGCATCATAAACGGCCTAGAGCGCCTAATACCAGTGATTGACAAAGACTGCCTGCAGATCTTCCAGGAGCTGTTAGCTCCAGTATCAAAGCATCTAAGCCGTTGCGGAATCGAAATCACACTTAAACCCAACCGCTTTAGCCGGCCTACCCAAAACACAGAAAATAACCAAGCACGGGCCGTTGCAGCACAAAAGCGTCGCAGAGCTTCCCACTCCGAGGGCCCAGAGTGGCAACGGCTCGCAAGAGCCCCCGAACCACCGCCCTTGCTCATTGGTAGTTGCCGGCGTCACACCGGCCTCCCTTCCATAGGTCAGGAGCCAACACAATCGAACCATGGGCCCACAAGCTCCACATCTTCGGGGGGTAGAAGCTCTAACCGCCTGAAGGATCGGCCGTTATTGGCAAGGCTCGTAGTAAGAATACTCCGATACGTGGAAAATCCCCCCCCTCCAGCAGCTCCTTTGTCCAATATTGGGACAAGATTTCAAAATGAAATTGAGGGCCTCTTGCACTCAGAACACCTGGAACATGGAACCTCAGCAAAGAAATTGGCAAGGCTTCGTCGACTACACCCATTGTATATCGCCGAACTAAATATCATAGGCGAAAGAAACACAAAGTTGACAAAAAGAAGCCATAAAGCCGTCCTTGTGACAAGCCTTCATTCTAGATTCGGAGGGATCAGAAGGACATTCGCAAGGCTAGTAACCGATATTGAAATTGTGGGGACGTTAGTAAAGCTTTATCCCCAACCGGCCGTACAAATATCTGGAGCGGTACTTTTAGCAATAGCCATGGAATATTATGGCACCTCGGTTAAGTACGTAGAGGAGAAAATGGGGATATTGCAGTTGTACATTCCCTGGTTGACTAGTCTCGTATCGGCGGAAACTGTGATCCCCTCCGGTTTCAGGATACCTGCGAACTCATTGGCAGGGCATCCTACAGAGTTAGTAGAGCCTCCACACCCATTAAACCTACAGCCTATTGAAACTAGTTCCGACTTGTGGGCAGACGTCGTGCGCCTTGATGAGAAGTTTCTTATAATTTGCGAGGACACAATTCTGACTTTGACAAGCCTGGGCTCGAAGACGGTTCTTGGCAGCTTGAAGCCCGAAAACAAACTGGGTATGATACGGCGCGTCGATCGAGATCTCGCAAATTGCGGAACGATTAAACGTAATGGAGAGGAAATCGTTATCACCGTTTCTGAGGTCGATGCAATGACAGAACTGACATTATTCTGAGCACCAACGGGCATTTGGAACTGAGGCAATTGCTGTTTTCTCTTGCTGGAAAATAAGCACAGGATGTAGTTCTCTATTCACTATGTGAACTCTTTCATGCACGAAAATAATCTTTATTCGGAAATATCACGTATTCTGGTTCAAATTTCATTCTGCGCCCTATATGGTAAGAAAGCCAAATTTAATACCAGATAGAGTTTTCATGCATCAAACAGAAGTAAGTTTAGTAGGTGATGGCTCTGTTGTAAACAACGACCGTGAAGCTTTTAGGCCAAATTTAGAACCCAGACACGAATAGCGAGTCATTGTGAGACTGCATCGTGACCTGGAATTGATACAGTTTTCCCGTAGTATCAGGAGAACTATCTCTTACCTTTTCGATTAGTAGGTAGGTCAAGTAGATTGACGAGTGGATAATAGTAGCTGGTTAGTGATTTGGTTTACGAGATTATACATATGCTGTCTTTGATGCGAACTCGGTCTGTCTTCTATACCGAAAGGTCAACTCTAAGTACTAACAATGCATCCTTCTGTTCCATTGCTTACGACCGTGACCCTACTTCCGGTTGAGGGATACTCCTCTTTTGTCTCTACCTCGCAGCCATCTCGATATCACCTGTATTTGAAATAATCTTGGCTTCGCTCGCAGAGTATGGCTGTAAAAATCCACTAAGTATCAGTTAGAGCTTCCGTTGTACTGCGTAGATAAAGTGATAAATGAGGGCTCGGACTTACAAACCCTGCATTTAGCAAATAGTCCTCTCTCAACACCCAGTCCACGAACTTGAGTCCCAAGGAGACACTCAAAACCGTGAAAATGAGGAACCGAACCAGGCTGTACATATGTATCCGCACATACTCGCTGTGTAAGAGTGCGATCAAAAAGTTTAGTGATACTGTAGATGCAACAATATACCCAACCTCATGGACCCAGATGCGCATCGGCAGAACCGTTGTATTTATTGCCTACCAGGCTCTTATCAAAAGTTCTCTTGGGAGGCTGCGGGGGGCGACATACTCCCAGGGGGAAAAAAAAGGAAAACTGCCGCGAGATGTTGTTTGAGAGCTGGCATCCAGACTATCCTGAGCGTAGCTAGAGAAAAATTAAGTGATGCTACTCAACTGAAGAACCAGCATCTGTCATGCCGAACCGATCAAGCCATTTCCAAATTTGGTTTTACAACATCCAAAAGTGCGTTGCAAGGGCCCTGGCACGAAATAGCCTTGGCACCAGGCAGAAATTGAAAACCTTGTTAACAAGCCAGTCTCTGTTTTGGCTTCTGTTATGTTACATTATCTGTATGGGCATGTGAGTTTTGTGTGCCTGTGATGCACGCCTTCGACTGTGATTATCTATAAATGCTCCCCCCTCCTCCCTCTCTCGACATTTTAGAAATTCATCAAAGCTTCATTGCGATTTGTTTGATCCTAAAGCCCATTCATATTTTTTTAAATCTACTATCCAGTTACCTAGTGTACCATTCTAACGCAACCACCAAACCATGGCGCTTAAACAGCCTACAGATCTGCGTTACCCCCTTCCACCAAAACCAAGACTAACTCAAAATTGGCACCCGAGAGGGCCCGGTATGACTCAAAATATCTATGACATTGTCCAAGTATCTTTGCTGACAGTACTTGAACTACTTAAGGTATAGATGGCCACGTAGGAGACCTAGGCACAACACAAAGACTTTCACGTCAGTCGCTTCAAATTCAGACAACGGTTGCAGTCCCAGCCTTAGCTCCAGAGCTCCATGAGTCTATAGAACCCCCACTATCCAGGAGTCCTTTACCTGACAAACTCGAAGCGGGTGATAATACTTCAACTGCTGGTAATGACGCTTCCCTCGATTATTCCAAAAACAACTCCATAATCATCAAGAGTCCGGGTCAAGCGAGCCTCCCCAGCGCACTCCCGTATCCGGTCGATAGCCTCAAGGATAGTACAAGCCAGCAACACCTCCTCGGCAGCCAAATGACCCGTAAAAAAACTAAGAGGATGGTGAGAAGGTCTCTTGATGCTTCTTGGCCATATAGCAGCCCACAATACAAGCTCAAAACCCCCAAGGTAAAGACGACAAAAACTACCACCTCCAAGCCTACTGGTATTCCTGTTCCAGGAAAATTCCGGCGAAGACAGCCGAAGGCGAGAGAGTGGACAGTCGAGAAAGTAATTGGAGTTTCGGGAAACCTTTCTCGGGTGGTGTGGAGCGACAGCTATGCACCGGCCGAGTCGGCCAATGAAATAAGTTCGGTATTCCGGTCAAGGGTAATAGAATCAGTTATACAAGGGCAGACGACTTTTGTGAGAATAAAGTGGGAAAATACTACCGAGCCACTTTCAAATCTCAAAAATGCAAAAGACAGCATCGAGGAATATTACCAAGAGAGAGAGCGGAGCGGCCAGCCTCTTGTTATGTCAGAGCAGGAATTCGTTCAATTGCCATAAAAACCATACTGATGTTCCCCAATCCTTCCTGTGGCAAGGATAACTATGTATTTAAGTTATTTAAGTAGATTTGCGCAAATAGTATAGTCATCGTTGATATCTCCCAGGCTATTCAGTGACATTACGCAGTAGTTGTACAGGAAGAAAACAAAAGACGAGTGTTCATGGTATGAAAATCACTGAAGATAATTAGACTGCATAGGTTCGAGTTGCTAATTCTACATAGGAAATGGTTCGTGGTAGGATGTATGGGTTTGTAGGTTGGGATCCTATGCAGGAAAGAATTCGTGGTAGGATGTCAGGGTTTGTAGGTTGGGATCCTATGCAGGAAAGAATTCGTGGTAGGATGTCAGGGTTTGTAGGTTGGGATCCTATGCAGGAAAGAATCCGTGGTAGGATGTCAGGGTTTGTAGGTTGGGATCCTATATAGGCCAGCACAAAAGCTATAAAAGCTTCCGCTGATTCCTTCAGCAAATTGTTCTATTTCAACGATATGAGCCTCGGCCGGGAAGAGTACGTATACGCATCGCACGACATGGATAGCGATATGTCTTGGTTTCACGAGAGCACTGGCGTTTTCGACGACTTGGGCGGTTCACAAATCAACCCTACCACGGAACCGAGAACAAACTCAAATTTCTCAGGGTATCCTGAACCCCAGCAGCAGGCTCCGACGGTTTCAGCTAGCGTAAAACCACAAACAGACCTACTAAGAGTATTGATACCGATCCATACGATCCAGGCGCCGTTAGCTCAGCGGGGGAGCCGAGGGCTCTATAACGAAGTCGCCAACTTGAGGGCAAAGGTCCAAAAGCTAGAAGCGGAGTAGGTCGTCCACCTGATATATCGTTTTATTGCAGCTGATATCCATTCCTAGAAAGCGTTCACTCAAGAACATAGAAGAGAAACTCGCGAACCTAGAGAAACACCTCAAAGAAGGCCTCATGCCGTGGTTGAACGAAATAGCTGATAGGATTAACAACCTCGTCGCCGAAGTATTTGGAGACAGGGGAGAGGAGGAACTGCCACAGATGGATAACTGAGGCCTTGGGGCCATGTGTCTGTGTTGAAAATAGTCGGGTATACGGAAAAATTATTTAAAGGAACCACTTTCGCGATTCAGTCAGATCGTACCTTTTTTCATACCATAACTTTTAATCCTTCCATAGTTTATGACCTAGTCAGATCTTATCTTCTCATATCACACTCTTTACTCATTCCATTCTACTTGAAATCATAATTTTCTCAAGGGATAAAATAATGTCGAAACAGCCCCAACCCAGACGTCAATGGTCAATGGAGGAGGAGATGTTGCTCGCCTTTTTCATGTCTAAATATCAATTTGGAGTTGCAGATCTATCATGGCTTCTAAGATTACACGACTACCATCGAACGGAGATTGCCATCAGGCTACATCGTGCACAAATGCAAAAAACGCAAAAGATGGATGGCAGTTGTGCCGAATGGGGAACTCTTCTAGATACAGCTGTAGGGGTATTTTCTGAAAGCTACAGAGAGACCCACCATATCCGTCAAAGCAGAGACCCTTTAACTCTTGAGGAGCAGACTATTCTCAAGATCGCGCAGTAAGGCTCCAACAAAGGTAATACTCAAATTTTTTTAGTACTCAAACTAACAACTGATACTGACACCAGGTCCAACCCGCCCCGGTCAAGCCGCCCTAACAGAGGAACTTCACTCGCCTCCCACATGATCCTTTCGCCATCGCTTCCGCCGTTTGCAACGCTCGAGCTCGAGACAATCGAGCTAACTCAGATGTGGGGAAGATCGGTGCATGATACATTAGAGAATACGAGAGATGTGACATCAAGCGAGAATGTCCTGGTCGGAATGCTTGAAAGTCTAGGTGACAGCACTGGCTAATCCATCTCACTTGGGATGAAATCGCACGTTGGGGTGGCTGATAGTACCCTGCAAGATTTGCCGTTTTTGGAGCGTTCCCCTATTTCCTATTGGTCGCGCTTAAACCTTGTACTCTTACTTCAGACGGCAGAGACGCCCTCCCTTAATTTACCACCAGTTTTCCCACCAGGGCCAGCATAAATACGAGGTTCCCAGCAAAAAATTGCTGCAAACCTATCGCACTGTGAAATCAAGAATTTCCTTTCATGTGGAGCTCCCTTGAGCTACCGGTGACAATGCCAGCAATTCCCTTCGCGCGGAGGAGCCGCGGGGTTCCGTAGACACTAAGAACGCCGGCTTCCAGGGCCGTTTTGCCTGGTGATATGACCCTTTATTACGCAATCAAGATGGCCGGAATATAATATTATTCTAACGCGGTATATACTTCAGCCATTCGCAATTGCAAAGCTTGGCGCAAGATGGTGCCGCTTCTAGGTTGAGCGACTCCGAAACTGACTGCCGCCCAATTCCGGTTCTGTCCCAAATGGGACACATATCAGTGCACTTAAATTGTTGTGTTGCCCGTTCCCATAACGGAGCAAGGCAGAGACGAAAGAAGCTAGAAGACATTCACGATGCCAAAGCACCCCAGACAGAAGCTGAACACCGCAACGGCGGATTTCCGACAGCAAATTGTCCATGAATACGACCAGGTATATTTGAATCCAGCCCATATATCACATGCTTGTGTTCACATTATATTACCCGTTCTCTATAGCCATTAGTCCTAACAGCTCGGACTGCGACTCGCCCCGACCAACCCCCCCGTCTCAATACCAATATATCATACGATGAGCAATTCACGGGGCAGAACAACACGAGACCAGGATCAGATCATATCTACCGTCAATTACAAGATCGTGAACGCTCGATTCAGCTCGCACTTTCTCACCTCATGAATCCCGGAGAAACAATTTGTGGCCAGAACATCCGGACTCTTACAGCAACTGTATCCTCGCAGGCGAATCACCAAAAATTTGCTCAAGCGCGAATATTTCAGCTCGAATCGGATTGCAAACGCTACTTAGAGGCTCAAGAGCAAATAGATAAATACCGAAGCCTAAACTTAGACCAGGCCGAGGAGCTAGGAGATTTGAAGAGCCAGGTGGCCCAGCTTACAGAGGAACGGAGGGTTATGACCATAGAAGCTGAGGCCCAAAATGGAAGATTGATGTCGCTGCATAAACAATACCAGGAGCTTTCGCAAGATTTCCATGGATTCGATGACCTCCACAAAGCCTACATGGAGGGTAGAGTTCACATATACCACCCAAGTGGGGAGTCAAAGAAATGCCTAGATATCCAAGACTTGGTTGACCCGAACTTGTGCCAGGATTCGAGATGTTTGGAAGAAACCGAAGACATGGAAGAAATTACAAATCCTTCAATCTAATGCCTATATTTTGAGCTTTGTGTTTATTATGGATGACATTCCTTCTGGGCCGGCGCAATAATTCTAGGGCAAAAGATAAGCGGCCTAGCATTAGATACCCACCCATTTAAGGCCTTCAATGTACTTAATAGCCTCAATAATTAGACCGCCCCTCCCCCTTCCCCACTCTCCTTGTACCTAATTCGCTTACCTCTGGGAAACCTAGAAGAGGATTCAAAGATATTGCTTTCATATCTCATAGATGCAAGCACCAATAAGAAGAGTATGACGTTGGCTCTCGAATACGTATACAAGAAGCAACTGACCCCTAAGATAAACAGAAGTCCTATAGAATTCTACGACCTGCTCTACCATCAATCCCCGAACGTAGGGAAAATCGCACCGGGCAGGTGTCCTCGAAAGATATACGCTCGCTTGAGTCAGAGGTTGTGGATTTAGCGTCCCGGGTGGAGGGGCTCTTGGGTCGAATTAGACATATGGAAGCAAGATATGACCAACTGAAGGAGGAGTTAAACAGCTTGCGTGTGGATGTTTTGGCAGTTCGTAGCCAGGACGCTACCAAACCAGCTGGGGGATTCAATAGAGAATCCCAACTACGAAGGCTATCAAGAATCTTTAAGCGGTTTCCAGTTTAGAAGAAAATGCCTTGTGTGTGTCGTGAGCACTGAGGATGTCGAATCAGCCACATGCTGATGCGCCACCCACCTGCTGATGCGCCACCCACCTGCTGATGCGCCACCCACATCCCTTAGTTGCGTATATTCTAAATGGCTGTAGCTCCCTTAGTACCTATTTGCAGTGTAAATACAAAAAAAATTTCCTACTCTTGACACAATCCCTAAATCAGATCGACGCCTCTTATAGACTTTTCAAAAGTGACCTAAATTGTCTAAACAACTTAAATTTATATTAAGCTTCTCGATCTGACTTAACCGAGCTTGCATCCAACGAAAACCAACAACCGCGCACGGCCCAGACAAAGAGCTATGAAACGAACGGCACTGATAGTATTCCTAACATGCTCGTTCCCTCTGCTTGTATGTTGTGACATCTACCTCGAGAAACCCACGGCTTTTTGGCCAGATAAGGAGTCCTTGAAAAACCGTGGAACGCCCCTGATGCTCGACGGTTCCGATTTCCCATGTAAAAATGCGCACAAGCTACTGAAGATGCATCATTACGAAGAGACAGCCTGGCAGGTTGGTACATATCAATATGTTATTCTTGAGGGGACAGGGAATACCACCGAGGATGGAGGGAGTTGCCAATTTGCCTTATCGCTAGACCACGGCCATACATTCAAAGTACTTCGGTCCATCGTAGGCGGGTGTCCCTCTAGTCCCTTCGGTAGCCTAGGAACCGGCGATATTGTTTATCTGCCACTAGAAATCCCGTCAGGAAAGGCCTTATTCGCCTGGTAATTCCTACTAAGTTCCCTAGAGGAGCTCGATCCGCAAATTAATTCCCACGTTTAGCTAATACTTATTTCATTTTTAGGACGTGGTTTAATAGTCGAGGAACTCCAAGGATGTACATGAATTGTGCACCTGTTACAATCAACAATCCAACGAAGAGGGGCAGTTTGGAACAGTTTAATGAGCTTCCAAATCTCTTCTTTGCCAATATCGGGAACTGCAACCTAAGAGAAGGAAGCGACGTCATATTTCCCGGCGCTCAAGATGTCTCTGGAGCGGCGAGGTCTGCGGAACAGCCACCCGAGGCTTGCCTACCGAACCGTAGCAACAAGCGAGTTTCTACAGTTACTCACGCTTATCTAAGTGGGACGCTAGCTCCGTCTCGTACGGCACAGGGCAGCTCAAGTATACAGACTGAGCTCAAACCAATCCGCAAAGCAACCTCTAGCCCTACGCATACTAGTTGCGAAAGTCAAGGACTCAAGACGACAGTTCCCGTAAAATCTTCCATGAAACCTATTTCGTATACATCCGAAAGCAAGCCGCTGTCCTCGAGCTCTAATTTAATACCGCCAAAGTCTGACTCTGTAACCCTACCATCTGGGTTTTCGACCATAAAATCTACAACTGCTAAACCACCAACCATTTCACCCACTACCTCCATTCCGAATAGAGCCTATGATACTGAAACGCAGAAATCCATACAGTCATCTAACGTGGCTATAGATACAGTATACAACATGAAGTCTTCTAGTTTGATCACGTCGACGACTCGTCATTCTACTAGCCTCCATTCAACTTGCACCAAAACTATAGCCAAGGCCCCAACAAAGACGATTTCTGGTTTAGATACGGCAACCCAGGCCATGGTAACAGCAACGGTAACCATCGTTTCCACGAAAGCCTGCGTCTGTCGCCGTGCGTCTCTTACAGGTACACTACGTATTGTCTCGGCCGCGAGACTTTGGGATGTACCTCGCCCCAAAACCTCGTTTTAATATCATTTCGTCGTCCCCAACTCTGCACTTCTACACCCTAATTTCATCCCTGCTATTTAATGTTTAATTCCCTATTTGAAACCTGATATCATTGTACCTAATGTATATTACACCCATGGCTGGCTCTAGAAATAGTTATCAATTTAGATTCGTTCAAATTTAATCTAGTTTCTAAATTTTAAATTGCTAAAAGGAAATCGAGTTTTGATTTAAGTGATTTCATAGATTATATAATAGGATATATAATAGGACTCAAGCAGCACCAGAACATAGTGAGTTCGGAACCTTCGATATACATGATTTTACTTATTACGTACGCTCTATCCTTCCCAAAATGACCATTCCCTCCGCGCGCTGAGAATTCCCACAATAGCTAGCTGAGCAACGGAAGAGGTTCTTACTGCCATCTGAAGAAATGGTTCCTAGGAGCAATATTAAGTTGCACGTTAATATAATATTCTTATCCTAAGAAGCAGTCTCTGATGCATGAATACCCGTCCTACCGTTTGTACTTCCAGGCTTTTTGCCCAGAAGGAATTCACAATGAAATGTTTCACAGCGCCACTCCATGAAACCAATGAAAGATCCGCGATGCGGATAACTGAATCTCTGAATTCTGACCTTTGAAGCATGTGGTATACGAGCTTTCCGAGCACACCAAGCGACTGTCCTTTTGCCAGCTGACATCGGTGAATCGCTCCTAGTTTTTAGCAACATAATATTCTTAGCATCTTTACTTTTGGTCTGGGAAAATACCACCCGACTTACCGAGTTTAATACACCCATTCCGCCCTAGTAATATGCTACTGGCCTGTACCTGAGTATGTTCAATACCAAGGTTAGCCAAGAATTTTATTGCTTTTACGACCTATTTAGTTGTTCCTTAGTTACTAGTATCACTGGATCTAGATAACGGAGTGCTCACTTCGCAAACTATTAAAGCTGCCTCTGGTTCTTTGATCTTGGCCGGAGAACTGATTATTTCCATTAATGAAATGTCCAAAACCTCAACTACTAGATAGAAAAAGACATCCTCGTGAAATACTTCGATTAGTCTTGTTGTATTTTCGTGATGGTTGTGGAGGAGTTTGAGCATTAGCTTCTCATTATACTTCGCGTCTGATTGACGCAAGACCCCGACAAGGTTCGGGTGCAGGTAATCGGTTGAATTATGGCGGTGGGCGAGGGTCAAATCCCCACCATGACTAAGTTGCACGAACAGCTTGTATTTCTCTCTGAATCCAGTGTGTAGAGTACTAGTACCGCTAGCAAGTTGGGCATTGGGTTTGGGAACTGTGGCTGCCTCGTGAACATCAACGGTTTCCCATGCATCATCATCCTCTGCAATTGGGCTCTCCTCTTCTTCCGGAATAGATGGTGGAGGAATGGTTGGTGGAGGAATGGTTGGTGGAGGAATGGTTGGTGGAGGAACGGCTGGTGGAGGAACGGCTGGTAGAGGAACGGTAGCCGGGTTGTTTTGATGGAAGATAGTAACCGGCCACTGCGTGTGCCGGTTAAGGGCTGTGTCTTCTTTGGAGCTAGTCATCTTTAGAATACTGTCCAATATCGGCCTTGGGAGCTTCGCGGCAGCTAGCTTATTCGTTAAGGAGACTATCTAAAATTTAATCGGAGCAAACAGCTAGGTGATCATAGGCGGGTTATATATACAGCACGTCCAACCCATACCTGGTTCAAACCATCCAAATACAAACACTAAACCCTGTCCATTGAGTACAGAAAGGATTTCTAGCGGCCTATATAGATACTATCAGCCGTGCTGTTGATTATATTATACCATGGCATCTCAGTTACCAACGCCCCCCAAAACCGTCCTTACAAGGAGATTAGGTAGAGTTTTGGAAAGAGAGCCCACGAATGAGGAATTGGTAGCCCGGATTACAGATCTGACCCGTGAAAACGGCATGCTCAGGAAGCAAATTCAGGAATTCCATGAGCTCTGGTCAAGCGTTCAGAATCTAATCTCACAAACGACAAGCGGTATGGAAAAGATATCCCGAGCCCTCGGGGATTTCGACAGTGCATATGAATATGCGGAAGCCAATTGGATCAAGTTCTGGGATAGCGGAGAGGCTTTACCGCGAGAATTCTGAGGTAAGCGCACATGGGTACCTTACATGAACGGTCTAACAAAAATTAAAACCCATAGTTACTGAGTAGTACATATAAATACCTCCAAAAGAGTGCACGGTCGCACGGTTATTTTTGCATGTTTGTATGGATGTACGCACTATGTATTATGCGTTTTTATGTAAATAAGTACGAAGTACATCTATGCATGTAAATGGCAGCTGGCGACTAGAGCTTAGACTTCTTCAGGAATTCGAGGTAGCCGCCGGGATTCCTTCGCCCGGCTTAGTGTCTTTATCGCTTTGGGGACTTTCTCGGCTTGCCCTTGTGGGAAATCATCGATTGATGTCCCATTTTCTTTTGCCCCGGTATTGTCTTCTTGCTGGAGTCGAAACTTTCTTTTCAACTGAGCAGCCATCTCATCAAGGATTTTTGTCTTTTGTCTAAATTCTGCAAGTGTTGAAATTACTTGTTCCATCCGAGTTATCAGCTCCATGACTTCCTCATTATAGCTTCGCTGGACAAATTCGCCTTCGGCGGTATCGTCAATTCCATTTTTCTAAAACTGAATTAGCTTTTTCCAAATGTGGTGCATTCTAGTAAGAACATACATGTTGATCAGAGTGATGGGGTTGGGCCATGATTTTCAATACACAAATCCCGCTTCGTAGTCAGTTTGGATTTAGATTATAATCTATTAGCGTTACATGAGCGAGCGCTTTGCTAATCTCGTAGACATTTATTGATGTAGGATCCAGTGTATCCCTCATGGAAGGGATTTACCTTTTTTTTAAAAAAAAAGAAAGAATGCGCGGTGACGTCATGGTGATTATCAATAATTATCGGTAGGATGATCAAGTATATGCTCGCTTTGAGATATCTAGGTTAATAGTTTACGGCTACCAGATAATCTACCAGATAATCCGTGGATTTTATCTGTATCAGGCTATTATTTTAGTAATGCATTACGTTAGCGTAACAAAGGGTGGTCAGTCAGTGCAGTTGATGAATACGGAGAGACGTAACTCATGACCATGCATGGGTAGGCGTCAAAATAGGTCCAGCACCTATCTTGTGCCTGGGTTCCGATCTGGCTACTACGGGTAACGTTATAGAAGATGTGTTTCCCTGCCCGATTAATTTTATTATCCGCCTGAAGTCAAAGCGAACTATTTCTGACTATCACCAGCTGTTGCAAACCCTGTCCGAGCTAGATACAACATGGTTGAACCCCTTGCTCTAAGCTCGTTCCTTGCGACATTGATATCGTTGTCGGCACGCCTAGCCTTCGACATAGCGAGCCTGAGAAGTAAATATCGAAGTGTTCCACGAGAGCTCTCCTACCTTGAGGCAGAGTGCCAGATCTTGGCCTCTTTATTGGCTAATCTCAAGAGTACCGAGCCTTTCGCTTACGAAGCTCGCAACCTGCGGCCCGTCCTGTGCCATCTCAATCAGATTCTTATTGATACTTCCGCCCTATTCGGGGTATTCGATCGGACGCCAACATTTCTCATGCGAATCAAGTGGATCATGCAGAAGGATGAATTAGTTTACCACCGAGAATCACTCTCCAGTTGCCTGGCGTTGTTCAATGCTACATTAATTTCTAAAATGCCGTCAGTCTTTTCGTTTGTCGTGTTACACGCCACTCTCGCTGATCCATGAAATAATCGTTTTAATTAAGTAGTTTGGAGCAAAAACGAGGCCCTCGAAAATTTACGGGAACGTGGTACGTTAACTATATTCGAAATATCGCGGATATTATGTGAGTTAATGCTTACATACGTATAAAACATGTCCCAGGCTTGTTAAGAGGTTTTTCCTCAATGGAAAAAAAGTTGGCCCTGGAACCCTCAGAATTAAGCGCGAACCTTTCAAAATGGCAACGTTGCGCATAAAGCTAGATGAGTTTGGGGAAAGAACCTATCTCTCCCACGAATGTAATTACATTAAAATGTCGCCTGCTCCGAGAAGTTGATTTGAACTTCGAACAGAATCACTAACTCGCAATATAATGCAAAGTGGGACCAAGAACAGAAGCTGTGGAGCAGGATGAAGGCTGTCGTGTTTTCATCCCTTTAGCTCAACGGCATGATACTTTGAATACCCCGGAGCTGTTCGTTCTTGATATACTCCGAGCAAGACGAATCAAAGGTACGAATGCTATGCTATACCACCCACTTCTACGATATCCCCAGTTCTAATTGAATACAGGCCCACGGGCGCCTTTAACTACTATCATACTCGCTTGCGTGGTACAGCCCTAAGGGCCGGTATTCCAATTTGGCGAACCTGACGTTCGGGTTCCCGAGGGCTACGATCGATCGTCGAAGTTCTTCTGTCTGATAGGCAAATAGGCATGCTTTAGACCGTTAGTTAACTGCGCGGAGATTAGAAAGCAAAATGACCCACAAAGATATACTATTCTCCCTCGGTCCATCGCGACCGTTTGGTTGACAATTTTCGCTATGGACGGCGACCCATAAAGAGTTATCACTCTTCTGCCATGGCGAATCAAACCCGACTCCCCCACTTGAGTATTTTTTGGACAGTATATGTTAAATCTCAATACCTTCATTATTGTTAGCAGTGTCACAGTGTCAAGTATAAGACTAGAACCATACGGACATATTTCGCGTCAGCTTCTAGAATCTCGTCCATCCAAGATTTGACCCAGTCCTGTTGAGACTCTTTTTCTAATATCCAGTGCAGTTCGATTTTTTGCGTTTTGACTTTACGCGCTTTGTGGTCTGCGACCGCTTGCTGAATGTACGGGAGTTGCGCGCATATACCAATTCCCGATGCTAGTAAGATTATCGTTCCGTAATCAGAAAGGTGATGGGTTATACCATACGGACCCTCAATAAAAGCCGTACATGACGACGTCGACCGAACATCCGCTGTGGTTTCATAAGACAGGCATCTGAGGAGGTCTCTTGTAAACCCGAATCGTGGCTGCACTAGGAAATGAGCGATGGCTTCGCCGTTGGCTGTTCGCTCCCACCAGGCAATAAAAAAGGGATGGAACTCGAAGGAGGCAAACGGGCTCGCAGCGGGGACGCAGAGGTAAACATACTGCCCTGCTCTAAACCCCCAAGGCCTTTGGATGTGGAGTTTGAGTATCAATGCATCATTTTGCTTAAACACGGAGAGCCGATGAAACCGTTGCCGAAACGGGAAATTTCGATAAATGACTCCGAGGGGTTGACAGCATAGCAATACAAGTGTTAGAACAAGGCTGACAATGACAAAGACATCACGTTCTCGAACATATCGCCACAAGTGAAGCCATATCGCGACCAAACAGGTTAGTGCGAGGGCATTGTGAATTACTAAAAATAATTCATAAAGAGAGGTTTTCAGTGGGAGGAAAATAAAGCAGGCTATAAGGCTGGCAAATGGCTATTAGATAGTATTAGTTCCGGCTGGTGCCATGGCGCAAAACATGTGTGTACATCAAGACACAACGCGACTCAACTCACTAATAACGCGTATATTATCTGAAGTTGCGTAAATATTTTGGTCCTGTGACCGAGAAACGCAAGCAGCCCGTGCAAGCCTCCTTCAACGACCACGATTATCGCAACCCATCGATGAATCAGTTTCGTGTGTTTGCATCCAAGTCCGAGAAAGTTGCTAACAGCTGTCACACGGCCACCCAAGGAGAGCAAGGTTAAGTTCGCAAGGGTAACCTTGCCGATTCTTGAATGGAAACCATCCACCCCACTTACCCCAAGAACACAGCACAAGCCATTGGCAACGACCACGAGTAGGAACACGAGCAAATCCAGCCTGGTTTCGGCGACCCAAATAGGGAGACGAGGATAGACAAGGCTTCGAAGGGTAAAAGCAACGACCCTTGACCAAAGTCCAAGCAGGGACAGGGCAAGAACATACAAAACCCGGAGAAGGAAAAGGAGCGCAAACACCGATGCGTATAGGGCTGGATAATCAATTATCATTGTGCGATTATCATATATCGTCATATCATATCATATCGAGTGTCAGGGTTCAAGGAAAATTTAACCGTCCTTCACCCTCAGGGCCTAAATAAGCGGCAACGCCTTTTCGCACCAGGCCAGTTTTAGATGGGAACCGATTTCACCATAAGAAGGCAGAATCGAAGCGCCCAGATGCTACTCCTAATCACGATACCGAACCAGCCTCCTTCCTGTCAAGCAGCCCACCGATTGTGGGTCAAACGAGATCGATGCCCACCACACCATTATCCTCCCGTACTCTAGCGGGAATCAAAGAGAGATACGATCGAACTGCCGGCGTGGTTCAGTTCCGAAAGAGACGCAATGGTTTAATGAAAAAAGCTGGAGCGCTTCATGCTCTCACCAAAGCAAAAGTTGCCGTCTTCATCGAAAGAGACGGCCGAAAGTTCATCTTCAATACTTGCGATTCTCTAGAGTGGGTAAATAAGATGGTATGTAAATTTACTCTCCCATCTCCGACTTGTCTAGAATTATTTAGCTCATGGTTTCTTGCACGGTAATCCATCAGCAAGAAACGCACCCGCCTCCTGAGATCAAAGGCCTGCAGGATGTCGAACACCAGACTTCAGCTACTCGTAGAAAATCTAAAGTTCCCCCGCCAGCCAGATCTACGCAACGATTGCTGCCCCCTCCAACATTTCCTATTAGGCCTCCATCGAATGAGAACCCACGAAGATCTCAACGAATAAGGCCCCCCCCAGTTGCCGTACTCTAGGCATCTTACCCCAATCTACATACCCTATGATTCGAGTATACATGTACATATCGAAATAAAGGATCCTTAAAATGAGAATGCTATTATAATAAATCTTTCAATTATAACTATTAATGTATAATCTGCGCTTATTCCAGTATGCTTTAATATACTGCTCTTGTGATCTGCCCTCAACGAAATCTCGGGCTGTAATCTCGGGCTGTACCACCTTGCTAGTCGAACAGGTATAACCAAATATAAGAAACTATCCTAGTGGCAAATTTGCTACCGCTTTTAGCTCGGTGTATAAACGCATGTGTACATATTAAGCCCTGGATCGAATCTTACTTATTCTGCGATATGAGAAAACTTCAAGCTTAGAGGGTTATATAAGTATTAGTCAGTGTAACGTTGTAGGAGAACACCCATTAACAAGAATTCCACTATAAACATTTTCTTGCAACTCCTCAATTATGCACGGTTACGGGTTCATTTACACAGCGATTTTCGACAGCGACTCGCAAAGGCGCCTATGGCTTAACCTTTATCACCCATATACTACATGGTACCAGTCTATTAGACCTTATCTTTGCAAGGAAACGTTTTTGAGCTACGACGACGGAGAAGATTCGAAAAACGTCAATACAATTGTAGCCTCGATCAAATATAACGGGGAAACTGTCGGAGACCCATTCAATATTGTTGACGATTCCTCCTATTTGCAATTCACTGCTAAACTTAAAATGGAGGTTCAAAAGGAGGAGGAGAGGGAGACGGAAAGAAATACGGGAAGGGAGGGAGAAGAATGGGGAGAATTTGTCGGAGATGGAGTCCCAAAGCTGATTGTGGATATTCATGAGACAAAATAAGACCTTCCTCTAGGGACTTCATGTTGATCGGGGCTTGGGCGTCGGTACAGGCATGTATAGAAAATGTGGGTGGCAAGGTTACAGAGGAAAGACAGGGCAACCAAAACAAAAAACTCTGAAAACATATTAATTTCAATGTGATACTTTTGGAGTCCGTCTCGGATAGTCCTCTGCCCGATTGCTAAAAATATTCCCATCATAACGGTGAAGAGGCCGCTAAATACAGTCGCGATCTAGAGGTACTCGTAGTGCGTTAGCTTTGTACATTAATTGGAAATCTATATGCAAGTAGTAGTTACCCCTGAGATCCATGGGTTCTCTTTTCTCGCTGTATAGATGATGACAAGGTTGTTACAGAGCCTTAAACCCGTTGTTCCTGCCATGAGGATTGCTGAAATTCCAACGCTTTGCCATATTTTGTTTGCGTTATGATTCTTGACGATCGAATTCGTAAATGGCGAAAGCTTCAGTATTGCGCATTCTCGGTTGCCGTTAGGATACTCGTCGCAGGAAGTTAGAACGAAAAATTCGATACTCTGAGGGATACTAATCACCCCAAATATCTCATCCACTAGGCCAGAGTTCTTTGGACATCGGTTAGCAACACAAATAGGCAACCCCCTGATCTTTTTGAATCTTTCGTTAGGTTTTCGGACCTGGAGCGGGTTGACGTTCTTCCAAACATTCGAAAAGTCCACTTTGAATACAGCAAGGTCTTTTTCAAGAAAGCTCCTAGTTTGACTGCCAGCCATTAAGAGAAATACCTGGCATAGAAGAGCCGTGAGTAGAAGAATTATGGATGGGAGGCGCATTTTAACTGATTTGCTGATTTGCACTATGTGTGCATATGTAATAGCAGCCCTGTGAAATCTCAAGTACACAAGGTTTTATAGTTTTTCAGTCTCAAAAAAAAACTTAATCAGAGCCTTTGGGCCAAATTAGGAGTATTCCAGATGCCACGGATCAGATATAACTTTCCCTTGTCCAATGCCACAACTAACTAGTGTACTTTAGCCGCGCATCTATCATTCTAGAGAATAATCTATATATGATAATACTCTATCATACGCCCATGTGGTTCCGGTTTCGGGAAAATGGTGTAGCCAATTAAATTCCTGATATTGATATAGTCTATGCTGTTCCCTTTGGTCTCCTTCTAGCCCATCTTACTCCCAGTTTAGAGAAAAACAATTGCTTTCCTATGATAATATTTACATATTGTCGTCTAATTAACTCAGTATGGCCTCTTATTCAACATAATTAGGTGAGCTAGGGCCTAAGTCCGTGTACAAAGGTGGGTTTTCTGCTTCCCAAGGAACTTGGTCCCGGGTCGTTCCCCGGACCTGTCGGTTGCGCCAGCTAAACCTGTAAGCCCGTAGCACCTAAATAAAGTACGCATTTATATCAATTAGACTCCCGATCTCTTCTTATTTAAGGGTTCTACGTGTAGTCCTACCTTCTTCTCGGCTAGAAAAATTGTAATGACAAATATGTGCGAAATAGTTAACTTGCCCTTTGAATGGCTGGAAACCATAGTCTCGGCCAATTCTCCTCCTTGAAAGGGTACTTCAAGCTCCCCTACTGTGAGTTGATTTGGGGTTCGGCCAGAAATTTTCCAACTATCTTGGCATATGAGCTCGGCAACCAAGTTACTCCTGCACTGTATAAATGTATGGTCGCGTTTTTTAGTATGGCTTTGGCAAGGAATCCCGATACTTTCTATGTTTTGATAGGCCTTGATCTCCATAGAGTCGAGTTGCCATCCCCCAATTGTTCGAAGCTCAAACTTTAGGCGGAAAGACTCCCCAATTGTGAAAACGGAGGGTATGAAGAACTGGACACCATCATAAGACGGTGCCGCTGGCGATAGAGGAGGGGGGAATCGAAAAGAAAGTTGGTGGATGTCATATTCGCTTCTTGATATTTTGAGACGCTCATGGATTTCCACACTCATGCCGTTATTAAACTCGACCGTTGCCTGAATATGATAAGCGACGGATCCGAAAATACACTTTGTAGACGACGGTGAGTTCCCAGGAACGTTGAACCAGATTGGGACTTGATACTCGCCAATGTTGGTTTGAAATGTCGTGAAGTCCACTACAGTTTTTGTCGTATTGCACTGTCTACAACAAGAGTTCCTGGTAGTTGTTACGCATATCAGCGCCGCTCTGCAAATCAGCATCGGTTTCAAATTACTTCGAATCGTGCCGCTTATAGCACCGCCCAAACAGGATTTTGGTGGGCCGAACAAAATCAAGATAGGGGGCTGTAAATCGAAAGATAAGGATGTAGATATCATATTATGAACTATTTATGTGAGGCTTTCCCTCAGTGAGAACAGGTAACTGCGGATAGAGAAAGATAGTATGGAAAATGTACGTTATGTGGGAATATTAGCCAAAGTAGAGAAAAATAGATTTAGGCTGAGCTAAGTTAATCCTTTTATCGCACAGAGAGCACCACCGGAAAGTAGATGCATGCCACTCCTGGGTGCCGTCTTGTTTGAGCCTTGAAGTTTCTACTTTTCCGCTACAGCCCCAATACCGATATGGAGGCTTGATATCGATTATCCGGGTCCTCAAGTTTTCAGATTGGCCATGGGAATTTGTAGTTTTACGGCGAACAATGACCGCCTTAGAAACTTGCGGGACGTCAAGTTCAGATGAAATCTGGAGAGCGTGGCTGCTTGATGTGGGTCGGAAGTCATCACCCAACAATCGCTTTAACTTCTTATCGCCGCGGGCCATTACGACGTTAAAGCCAGACGAACGTCCTAGCCATTTACTTTCAAATTTGTCCTTTTTCTTGAATTGGCGGATGTTTGATTGAGGACAACCAACGCCACGGCCCTGACAACTACAGGAGCGACCACGTTGGCATTTCCCGGGAAAACGAGCCAGAGCGCAGAGCATTGAACCTTCCTCTACCATTGCTAGTTCCTGGTAGGTCTTCCAGTCCATGATCCGAGCTCTACAATTGCTACAAACGAGGATTCTAGAAAGAAAACAGTCGCAACTCTTGATATCAAGCGCTCCAGTTGCATTGCCTGTTGTGGGCTTTTGGGGACGGAATTTCGGGCGGTTATCAAAGTCGACGTCGAGATTGTGGCGCTGGTGAATGCCACAAAGCAAAGCAGATCTTATGTCATCAGGCCTGAGGGAATATCCATGGTCGCAACGCTGTAGGACTCTATTAGAGAATTCCATTCAGACATTCTATGGCAAAAATTCAAAGCACGTGATTTCGGCCTGGGTAAAGTAGGCGTATTCAACGAACGTATTACACAGAACTTACAAAACAGTACAAACTCTCACACCACCCACATCGCCAGTTTTGGGCGCATCGATGAACTGCCTGGAGTTGGTTATCATCCATATGCATAGTAAGCTAGTGCTTGAAATATTGTTGGTGATGTGCTAGAGTTCCTAGGGCCTAACAGGGCTTTGGTTCCATACATCTGCCTTTTGTAGCATGTATGCATATAACCAATTTAGGAAAAACCAAATTAGGGATAGAGAATATACCGGACTTCACCCAAATGTGGACACATACTTTAGCTACAGCCGACTTTCGACTAATGATGTCGCTCCTTCGGATTGGTGATTAGGTATATTTATTCAAATGTATTTTAGCATCCTGCACTTAGATCCCTCTCTCTCCGTTGTCCCTTCAGCCTCCCCCCCCGAGCCACGAGGCCGAGGTTTGCACGATAATGATATCATGGTAACTCCCTCGTTACTCGGATTAACGGGAAGTCGGCTGATATGATGTGACAGCAAACCCCTCCGGAAGTGGTTTCTGATGAAAATAACCGCCAATTACAACCCCTGAGCTAAACTTGATAATCATCGATAATTATCGATAATCCTGATATCATGATGATATCCAACAAAAACAACACGATAGCCATATAGCATAATACTAATCTCCTACCTCGCGATTCGGTCCGGTTAACCCGTCCCCCCTAAGTTAAACCCTTTTATAAATACCTACTTGAGTACTTATTTGTTCCTATCCACAGAATCATCACTGTCAAACATGGTATGCCAACCACCGCCCGGAGAATCATACAGCAACTACTTCAATTTTCGAGGTGGCCTGTGTCTTCGACGCACTAAAGTTATCTTAGCTCCTTACGGTTACATCAGCACTTACCACTGGGCAATCGTCCTCCCTTCTGAACACCCTCACACCTATCCTTTCTATCGTTTCTGGAGATCTCTTCCAGACCATAACATCTTTCACCCCAGTCCGGGATACTATTGTTGGCGAATTCATGGAAATGGCCGCCCCTGCCCGTCATCCGCTGATTGTCCTCATTGCCCTCCAGAAATCTAACCTGGCTTATGCTTCTCTCTTTGAGAAATCTCTTGGGAGCCTCTCTGCCACTATGGACAAAATTCTCCAGAAAATTTACGATCTCTGCTCGAGTCGTCGTGAGTGGTTTTACGACGCCTCACGGGTGGAATTAAAAAAATCAACCTCTAATTCTGTGTTGCGTAAACCACCTAACAAAATAACATCGTCACAAAATGAGGGACCTTTGCTCCTTTGCCTCCCCGAGATCGCCAAATATTTCTTCACGAACATTCAATCCAGCAAAAGACTCTTGGTCCGAGAAGCTGTGGCTAGCGATATAGAAAGGTTCGCTCAAAACCTCAAGCAGAGTCATAATTACCGTCTCCATTGGAAGGATTGGTTTATCATCGATTGTAAAGCGGTCAGACAACATTTTTCTAGCAACATCCATTATGGTTCTGAGACTAGCAATCTCTCTAATGGATTCGTCTGGGAATTTTGGTCCTCGGAGAGCACAAAGCAGTATCAGGAGTATGTTACATATATTATGATCGGGTTGATCGGGTTGGGCGTTTATATTATCGGTCAAGCTAGTATAATTGAGCTTTTGGGCCCAGAAGACAAAAAAAGGTCATCCGAGAGGTACTTCGCGATGCATGATTATTACGCGCACAATCTATTTTCAATTCTAACATGCAACGATATTAGTCTCGTTCCAAGCAACAATGTGTTACCTTCTGGTCAACAGGATGAATCTAGTCCGGCTCACGAGGATTCTGAGTTCGAATTGTTTCAAGTGATATTCGGGATGGAGCTTCCGGTTGTTCTGCTTTTCATATCTTGGCCTTCGTTAGACTCCTCTAGAATCACATGCGTGTAAGGTTCGCAAGGAAACTTAGCATTATGTAAAATAGTATACGGGTATCATCGGTGCGGAGGAAATTTCAACTGTGGCCCTATTTTACATTGATCTCATATCGTGTGCTTCACTAAAGGGGCTTTGCGTTATCTTTCGAAATGGATAAATAAAATCTTTTCTCCAATTGTATATGCGTATATTATTAAAATTGCATTGCAATTTTAAGACTGTTTATAAGTCGTTAGCAATACCAATCATAAGAATTATATGGTTTTGAATATGATCTTGATGTGTATTGAGAGCTGTGGTCATGCACTGACAGCCCAAAGATGAGTATGCCAAGCATTTCACTTTTTTTAGTATGCCTATTTGGGAAACTTACCAGAATTGGGAGCTCCGCTCCGCTTAATTAGGAAACTTTAGGAGAAAGCAATGGCCTAACTAGTGCTCTAACATTACCATACCACACCACAGCCTGATGCATCACACTCAGCGTTTTCTCACAGTCCTCTCCGCTAAAGTAGCCGGTAACATCTCTTAGCAAAGTCTCTAAAGCAGAGCAGCTAGCGGCCGAGTTACTACAATGATCAGAAAAACTTATACATCGCTTGCACTTGTCGCGTAATATCTTCTGCTAAATCTAGAGGGCACTTGCTGCGCATCTTATATATAACCTTTGTACCAAAAACAAGACTAGGAAAGGGTACTAGTAAATATAAATTTAAGGTCGCGATGTATCTCATGTCTCAGACCCAAGTTGAAGGAAGGTCTCGGATGTGTTCTGAGGATGGTAGATGGGCATACATATCGATATACTACAGGCCTAAGCTAATAACTCTAACTTCTTACCCCGGCGTGCTGCTAAAGCGTCAAGAATAATTTTAGCCCACGGATAGCTGCCTTCTAATCCGCATTGTTTGAGCCCCTTATCAATCTTTATCACCACCCAGAATTAGCCCGGATCAGAAACCAACTTAATAGTGCAACAAACTCATAAATGTGACTCTGGCAGTGGCATTTGAGATCAGTCTCTGGCTGGAGTGTTATTTATGTACGGGCGTTTTAGGTATTCAGGTAGCTAGGATTCCAATCAGTCTTCTACTCACTCCCTTCTTTTTCTATCTTTATTCTTTGTTCTCTGTTTGGTTAAGGATTTTATTACTCTATTTTTACAATGATAAAACATATGATATGCTCGATAGCAATAGGGACGCTCCTCTTAAGTACATATAAGGTCAAAGCTACATATCAACTCCAAAGATCGATATCGGGCTAGTTTGCCAGGCGGTTTGCCCGCCGGTTCGCCCATCCCACCATGAATAGGTCATTGTAGAGGTAGGTTGTGCGGTTAGAGGTTGTGTAGTATCCCATAAATGTTTCGTAAAGTGCTTACTTTCGTCGGGGTTCCGAGTATAATCTATTGCCTCAACGTACGAGTATCTAAAACATGGCTTGTTTAAAAATTCTGAGAAAGTTCTGTTTATAGCTTTTGCCGCTGCAATCATATCCGAAGTATCGGAACAATTATCTCTGAAGGAAGGGTAGTCGTTAACGTTGAATAGCACGTTGGAGTTTGACTCTCGTAAAGTGACGACTAGCTTCCCAAGGGATTCGTTTCTGATTATTTCCTTCTTTATCAAACGGTTAGAACCCCGGCTACTATGCATGGGAGCAATTTTAACGTACCATAAATTGTTGGAGATCCACAAGTCTTATCGGAGGGGCATTGTATATCTGGCATACTTGCAAACGCTCAAAAGGTGGAAGACGGGATGCAAGCCAAGGTAATAGAGCATGGTAGGGATATATGAGGCGCAAAACTTTTAGCTTCGTTAGCTTCTCAAGGGAGATTGCTAAATCAGAAGCCGTATCGCATTGGTCTAGGATGATCCTGAGTTCTATTGCCAATTCCAAGCAATGAATAAGCGATTGACCCTCCCCCTCCGCAATGCATTGCGGTTTTTTTGATAGCTGAGCTAGGCATGACCGCAAAATTTGAATAGTTTCTGGCTTTCGTTTTGCGAACCCTGATAGCAAGATATCATACATTCCTATAAGTTGTAAGCAACCAAAGTTAACTTAAGTATTGATAGGAGTAGAACGTACCGTCCTCGGCCTGAGCTTTCCTCCAGTCTAGGCATTTCTTCTTTGACGAGCTCCCACAACTGGAATCGGAAGTGATTTTTCCAATTGAGATCTGCATTTTCCTTGGGAACAAAGTAATTTGGTTTTCCTTGGGTTTAGAAATGGGAGTAAAACACCTATCGAAAGGAAATCCTATTTTTTTCAATTTCCCGGTCGATATAAGCTGTTGCTCCACCTGCGCAAGGAAGACAGATAAACCTTCCTCCCGACATAGTTTTAAATAGTTTGTGCCGCATGCAGCAAATAGTCGCAACTCTTCAAGTCGTAAAAACGAAAATACTGTGTAAATTATCTCGACCGGGAGAGATAAAAGTCGCCCCAGATTGCTATCAGGTATAAAAGTATATGATTCTGGGGCTTCTATATGCGACATGGTGCAGGACAATTTTTTCGCTGTTGGGTATGTAGAGTTGAATAAATGGGAGTGGTCATAGGAAGGGGTGACGGGCGGGAGCACCAACCCTTTTATACCCGCGTATGGTCTCGTTAATCAGCAGTGCTATAGGTCATAGCTTTAGAAGTTGGGCAGTAAAATTGAAAATAGGGCCCGCAGGGAAAGGCTTATTATTTCGGTAAAACTGAACTTGAATCTGTGATTATCGGTCTGTGACCTATGTTCTATCATACAAGTATGGTCGGAAAGGCTCAATGAAATAGAAGACAAATAGCGTAACAGGCTAGAATTCTTCTTAGAGTAATTTGTGCTATTGACCATAAAACCAATATTCGGCTGCATACCGGACGCCGAAGTTTCTCGGCCTTCCTTGACACGTAAATGGTGCTGCACCGCTTACTGTCATAAGTCGATAGGCTTCGCGGTACGTATGCCCCTTCTGTCCCTCAAGTCTCACCCATGGAATTGCCCCAAAAGCGTCTGGACTTTTGCCCGAATCAGAGTAAATAGGTGCTGGAATCCTTTCTTTTGGCACCCCTTTGAATATACCAACCTTAATCGTCAATACACTTGGATTGTGAAAGCGAAACGTCGGAATTCCATCTGAGAAGTAATGTTCCCCAACAAGCGGAAAAAGGGAAACAAGATTGGGGTGATAAAACAAAAGATGAGGGAAAATGTGCAAGGATGTTCTGCTAGCCCGCGTGATATCGTCTGTTGCGAAGAGCTGTGCTTCTGCGTCTTGGAATACTGGCAGAGTAGAGTCGTTCAGGCATGCGTAGTTTTGCATACCAACGCCAATCACAATAGCTCGAGGATCGCTTTGGATTGGAGGGGGGAGACGGTTGGATGCTAGAGCTTTGTAGTCAGAATGATGCTTCATTTGTCATCACGTATCTACCTAGGTAACAAGGCATAGTTACAGTTGAGGATATCCACTGGCTGGATAAGTCGTACATGCTTCTGAGTATGTTCCCAGCCGTATGCTAAGGCCCAATGGTTAAGCTGTATCGAGAAAAAAAGGAAGTATATAAGGGCCCGCATTCTTGGTAGGAATCAAGGTAGCCAGGTGTATCTCGTATCTTCCAGATTTACGATTTGCTGATCGAATTGGATTGAGGCTTGTGTTGCAGAAGGTTGGAATTTTCACTTAGGAATACAAAGCGATATGGCTGTGCATGGACGCATTGCCCTAAGGATTTGCTTTAAATAACCTGTGTCCCTAAAGTAGATGGATGCTCAATCAGGTACCTAGGTCAGTAATTATGCCGTAGCTTAATCCTACAACCGATAATATCATCTAGGCTTGCTCCTGAGCCCCGCCTAACCTGTCAATATGATGTAATACACCTAAGAAAATAGTAGCTGTATCTGCTGTATTATCTGCTGTTTCATCGTATGATCTTGTCGCGTCATCTTGTTGTATGATTATCTATTGTCCAGCTATACTACCTTGCTATATTAGCCTGTTTAGCGTTGTATTATCATGTGTTATTCTGTGGTAATACCTTCTTGTCAGTCTCATAACCAAACTGTGACTGATCTTGTATTGGCTGACAAACTGGGCAAGGATCCAGGAGTATGGCGGCTAAAAGGGATTAGAATAAAATATAAACGGGAACCTTGGTTTTCGTTACTTAACAATAAGAATATATCTCTTGCGGTAACAAGTAGATCTGCATCACCACTTCGGATACCATTTCTGGGCTATATCCCTTCCGCCCGTGGTACACGTGCTGGCTTACAGACTGGTTCACAGACTGGTTCACAGACTAGTTTACAGACCGAGCCTATTAGCCTATAGAAAGTTAGTGCGTAAGCCGACCTGTGAACCAGCGTGTCAGTTAGCCGGCTAGTCCAGTGAATTAAAATGTAGATTGATCTGTGAATTAGCTTGTGGATTAGCCTGTGAGCCAGCCTGTGAACCAGCCTGTGAGCCAGCCTGTGAGCCAGCCTGTGAACCAGCCTGTAAGCCAGCTTGTTGGTCGTGAGCCAGCATGTGAACCAGCACGTGGGCTAAACTACGAACCAGCCTGCAAGCTAGCCTATAAGCTAGCTCGTGCATCACGGATGAAACGTGTATAACCTAATTCGCTTAATATAATACTGAGTTAAATATAACTGACGCTAAAAGAGGTTAGGAGTGATGATTTTCTTTGATATTTCATTCTGATCACTTTTTAAGTTTCCAATCAATTGACGGCTGCTATGCGAATGCCCTAGCGCCGTGCTTGAGGTGAGTAAATATCCAGACGCCAACTTCGAAGCTAGTTTAATGTGGTATTATCGATAATCATCTATGGGATGACTCTGTATTGAATTGTTCATTATGGAAGGTGGGTTCTAGGGTCTAGTTTACGAGGAGATTTTATGATACATCCCAAGAATATGCGGGCATAAAGTAAAATAGCAAACACGAAAAGCTATCACGGTATCGTAGCGCTGGCCTCCCTCATGCGTTTTCGTTTTTTATTGGCTTGCGCAATGGGAAAGTAGCTTTTGCGCTTTTGACTCTGGTGGGTAGCGGTTCCGAATACCTGGCTAAGGCACTGGGCCTCAATGAGGTGCGCGATTGAGGTAGGAAATCCACTTATCGCATGGCCTCCTGACCACGAAGGCCCGATATTGATCAGGAAACCATGATCAATACTCTCAACCCTAAATTTCACCAGCTCGGCCAAGTTAATTTCCTCGGCAGCATCCTTCCCTAAAAATATCCTAAACTTCTTTGCCCGTATAACCTCCAAAATCTGTAGGCCCGTTCCCCTTGATGTTCCAAATCTTAGTTTAAGATGTCCATAGCAGGTGTATGATCCTTTTTGGAATATTGGTAGCTGAGATAGCTCAAAGAAGAAGGACGAGGCGATTATTTGCGCGCAAAGCTGGTCAATTGTGTCATCATTCGCCGCTTGACGGATAGCCACTTGCTTAAGTGGCCCCATCTTTCTAGCGTCATCGAGCGAAGGTTCTTTATCTCTAAGAATGGGGTTTAAGCGGTGATACTTGTGCGATATCTCAGAAGGAACTCTACTCATGAACTGATCCCAGATCTTTTGGCCATCTAAAGAATGCATGAGAGATCGGTAGAGCCGTGTAAAGAAGTTCTGTGACCACACTGAGAGAGATGAGACATCACCGCCCTGGGAAGTAGTCCCAGTACCCAAAGATACCACTAAATCGATGTTCGCGGGAGAGCTCCAGATATTACGTGCCTCACATTCTGCTATGTCAGCCGGGTTATTTCTTGACATACCCCCATCCTCCAACGTGTCGACTCCGCCAATCGTATATGGTTTAAAGTACCACGGAGCTGCTGAAGTGCATCGACCACTATGCATACTATATTAGAATTAATTTAAACCGTCAATAAGAAATACTTACGCTTCCCAAACTAGTACATCGTGTTCCGATCTTATCCTATCGTATCCCCTGGTCTTCGTGAAGCCACTATAGTTGCACAGAATGCATGCGCTGCTACGCGGAACCGATGTTACTGTTATCCCAACTTTGGTGCCGATCTTGTTTGCATACGACCAATCCAACATAGCCTGACTTTTGCCGTATGTTGCTTTTAGAAAACATTCCATGTCGTTGTTTGAGTATTTGCTCTCGCCAAGCCACGAGTGGATAAACCGATGAAGCTTCCAGATCAGTGGGAGGCACTTCCACGCAGATTTGTTCTGAAAAATCAAGCGGGATAACCGCTCAAACTCCACTTCACATTTCGATACGGACCAAGCATTTATCATAAGCCCAAGAATTATAAGACCGCCTAAAACTGAGACTTAGCGTACGTGACTTTTATGCGTAGCGAGTAACTTACCGGAACTTGTCCCCATAGCAATATCAAAATGATCCTGGATGTGACATTTGAGGTTTAATCTCATCTCAAGTTCCCGTAGATATTGGATGGGAACAATTCCCCGAATACCCCCGCCGTCAATAGAAAGTATTCTTACACCCGCAGTCGGCGGCTTGATCCTGACAGTGATCGGCATTCCATCGCGAGAGCACCCAAATAAACATTCTTCTAGGCAGAAAGTGTAGTCTTCGCTTCCCTGAGAGCCAAAGAGTTGAAGACAAACCTCACATAGAGAATGTTTGCAGGGTAATCGAACTTCTGGTGGCCGCATTAAACAAAAGAAGCAGACAAGATTACTGTGGATTTTTTGGTAATGTTGCCGGTTTTTTTTCAGCGTCATAGAGTGTGCTACTATCGCACTTCTAGTTCCGTTCTGAACCGATACTAGCTGGGATGTGTATTGGGTTTCCAATTTCATCAAAGTAGAGCTAGCATTTATTGTATGATCCATCCTTTGTACGCTCTCAAGAGCGTCTAGTGAGTCTTTTCGGTACAGCTCTCTGAACATGTCCTGTGGTGAGAACGCTATAAACTCACGAATATTAGCGTGGGTGGTAGTCCCAAGATGGAGTAGGAGTATACCTGTTCTTACCATGCATACCGGGTGGTTGCGAATCAAGGACATAGCAAGAAGCTGTTAAGGCAATTGCCGCGGTTATATCTAAGTTTATTTTCTTAACACTAGCCCAAAGCTGGACGAGGTTTTCTTTGAGAAGGGATGATACAGGTCTGTGTCTACGCGATGCGTGGACAAGATTATTTCGCTTTGGAGCAAGTCCGAAATTCAAGCAAGAGTCTTCAATCAAGAATGACCAGTGTTGGAAGTTGAATTTTCTCCGCTCGATATCTCTAAGCTGTTGGAATGCGAGGCATTCTTCGTGTATAAGTGACCAAAGCCTTTTGGGGCTCGCTCTTCTACTCTGAAGGGCTACGGTGCGAACGCTTGGTACCGTAGATGTTAGATCAGAAGGATAATCATTAGGATCGTCATTCTCGTTGTAAAAAACCAAAATGCTGGGTAGTGGAACGGGTGTGCTCGGATCATAAAGTTTAGAGACTAGAGGCTCGACTCCCCGCCATCCACCAAAGTCAGGGCCATATATACACACTATGTCAGTGAACGGAATAAGAATACTCCGTAGAAAGGCCTCTAAAACTGTCCTTTCCGGCTCGGATGTTACAGATGTGCGCCAAGAAATATTCTGGAATCTAAGTCGGTGGCATCGATGCCCAGCAGTCTTCTGTACGCCGACTTTTTTATCATTGAACTCTAGAACTAATAGGGGGGACTTGTGGTTTTCATAGCCCGGGGCTAAATGAACCTGTGCCCCACTCTGATCACCTGGTGGCAGTAGGCGCCTGAGCGGATGAGACTTCTCTATGTGTGATGTCAGCCACAATGAGAGACAGGGGCTCTGCGATGAAGTATCCTTCAGCCGCTTCCCTAAACACTCGAGCCTGTCTGTCAAGCAGAGATTGCCACCTGAGTCACTAAGAATAAGATCAAATAGAGTAGAATGGCGGCAAGAAGTCATTGGTGATATTCCAGTAAGTGCTGCCCTGACATCAATCCCTTATATATGACTAGCTGACGTAAATGTGCCTCCACCGTAAGTGGATACCCCCCAATATAGGGCCCGACCTCGAAGTACCGGTACTTCATCACCTACATAGTATACTGCTCTTGGTTTACCATTTCGATCATGATCAAGCTACCAGCTCCCTTTCTTCTTCTTCTTCTTCTCTGGTATGGAGAACCAATATTCATACATCAAACATCTTTTTATCGTAACAGTCAAAGTTCGATTTGCCGCATTGAACTTCCAACCTCCCGACAATGGTCATCGTTCCATAGATAAACGAAATGTTAAACGGCTTCTCGGTATTTACCGTCTGGAGGGCTGCCATCGAGAAGATCCCGCCAATAAAATCTCTGCATTCGCCCCATACGAGTCAGAGCTTTCTAATGATGTCGTGCTGCGATGTAGGGAGTCGCACGAGATACCATTGATTGAGTTTCCGTCTAGATCTATTGATTGCATCTACGGACACCACCGCATTCTCGCAGCGCAAGAATTCTTTCCTGCAACGGAACAATGGTGGGTAGTAGATCTCTACCGAAGTCGTAAGTTTGACATCAAAGAGCACTGAAATTTGGCGTCGCTCACCTTTTGAACAGATCCACATTCATTTGGTGTTAAACTACGCAAACATTTCCAAAACGAATACTCAAACGCTTTAAATATCTCAGATGGAGAGATATACCGAAACCTTAGGTTACAAATGATTGGCGGTGATAAGAAAGAAGAGGACCGTTGGTGGGCCCGATTATCCAAGTCCAAGCGTAGAGATGTTAAGGCCCTGATAAGCCGACAATCACTTTGTCAGGCCTTCGATTCCGTACTATCATTACCGGGGCTTTGGGCAGGCCTCCAATTCGGAGTCTTACAGCGTATCTTAAGGTTGAATTGTGATGAAGAAATTGTAGAATATATTGGGAAAATACGCACCGTCTGGGAGGGCCTGCTTAATCATAGTCCGACATCGATCGCTGCTCTAGATTCCGAGTCTGTTCAAAGTCTAGAACTCCGAGCCCCTGGTATTGTCGCCGAGGACAACTCGTATGTACAAAGGGCAATGGACAATGGCGAACTCTTTTACATGATTAAAGACATCGCAATAAGAAGGGCAATCAAAACGGGTCTACTAAAATTCTGTGGAATATTGCCTTCACTGAGAACCCTTTTCGAAGATACAAAATATCTTGACGCCTGCGTTAGAGGTATGCGGCTGCTAGTCCAACCGAAAAAGGGCCTCACCATCCGCAAAGCATTGGAACTTGCTTTCATACCTGACCAAGGGCCAGCTCTCCTCCAAGTTGATCAAAATCAAGTCCTTGCCACAGACCTACCGTCGAACCGAAGCAGGTTCCTTTACGCTTATCAGCAACTATGGCTTTTTAATATGCGGCACTTCCCTGATTTATCAGGTATCGAACCTCGAAAGGAAAATGGTCGTCCGAAGCCTATCCCTAAACCGAGCAACATAATTGTTGTATATCAACTCAAGAGGCTAGCCGCCAAGCTCGGATTCCAGAACTCTATAATATTGCAAACAGAACAGCAGGACCCTCTCCACCAGTGCGTCCAAGAACTTTTGCACAAGGTCTGGCCGCAAGACGCTACAGATAGTATGAGCCAGCTAGAAAACTCTATCATCAGCTTGTTACACAAGTATACCCCAGTTTCCGCTACCGGGCACGTCCGGAAAGTTTGTGATGAAAGTATTGAGAGGAGATGCGGGAGGCCATATGAACTCGCGCATTTGTATGATAGTCGCTACACTTTCGATCCAGACTTTTTCTTGTCGTCGCACGGGGATGTTTTGACTTCTCTTGAAGTCAAAAAACACTTTTTTTGTTATTTTTTCTCAGATCGTGGTTTAAACATCAACCGGCCAGAATCGATATATAGCTCCAATCATGTACTGTCTGCTTATGCAAGGAGTTGGTCGGATAGCACTTGCATGGCTGGAGTCCGGAACACGGAGGAAGATAATTTAGAAGGAAGGCATGTGGTGGCTAGTACGGAAGGAAATTTTGTAAGAGGGGAGCATACGGCGTCGGCATCCGAAATCGAATTAGCAGATCAGATAATTGACGACTATCAAGCCCTGGGCGACACTGGGTACGGAGAAATATCTATATATTATTGGCAGGGTGCCGGTTTTCAATTTTACGGTTCTGCGCGACAGGACAACCTTTGGACCATTATTAGGGACCTATTTACAGAGGATAATGGCCTCATCGTATTTGATGAACAAATGCGAACCCTTCAAATCAGTCATAACGATCCACCTAGTTGGTGCCTCGGCACCAATTTTCCTCGAAAGGTTCTGATCGGAATCCGCCACGAAATCAATACAATCTTACGCTCCATCATATAAATTTGGAAACAGATCGGGCCTCCTCCTCAGAATATTCTCCAAGAAAGCGACCCTGTCCAGGACATCGGGTGGGGTTATGTTCAAGCCCCCATCGTTTCTTGGCCTATCCATTGTTACCGAGGGAGTCCCTCTATACTGATCAAGTTCGTTCCGGAGCAACACAATTTCTTTTTGTGAGGCGGCTAGTTCTTCTTTAAGTCGCTTATTCTCTGAAGTAAGGTCCTGAAATAGATCCAGTCGAAGAATATTCTTTTTCGATACAAGCACCGGGATGGCGTCGTCAAGTTCAGCGGGGTTTGCCGGTTCGTGAGACGCCGTCGGTTCCGGAGTAGATTCGTGATGTACTGCCAGCCCCGATACAACATCATGAGGTGGTATCTGTTGGGGCAGCGTAGCCATTTCTTGGCTCATGGCGCCAGCCGGCTCAGGAGCTGTGGTTTCGGCTCCGGTTTCGTCGAAAATAATGTCAATCTTGTTTTCCGCGAGTTTTTGCCGGATAAGATCAAAGTCTTTGATGGTGATCGTCTTCAGGGTTATGCGAGGCCAGTCTTCGCCGTTAGTTACAACCTGCCATGGTCCTCTGCGCGGTTGCGATGAAGTTATAGTCAGCGGGTCGACCCTTCGCTGAACCTTTTCCCCTTTTTCTACTCATTAGCCTTGTATTTGATCCCACCGTAACTTCAAAGCGACTAAAACCACAACTTACAAATATATTCAGCTATAAGCCTTCTCGCCTCACGGCATCTCACATCCCGATTTGGGTTAGTTGTAGGTGCTGATACTTCTTTTGCAAGTTTTTTTGACGCGGTCATCTTTAGCTAGTTGCCCGTTGTCAGACTTGAGTGTGTGTGTGTGTGTGTGTGTGTGTGTGAACACAAGTTTTTCATGCTGCGATTTCATGCTGAGTCATCAGAGTTGTCGCCAACTCCTGTGTACCACGGGCGGGAGGTGCCACTTGTTGTCACGAAAAACAAAATTCTCATTTACACTTCATTTTTGGCCGCATATAACCGCTTCATTTTGTTAGGATAGATACATGTATATTCCCCATAAACACAGCTACCATAGTGCCCTTTCATATCGAAGACGTCTTAGTACGAATTTTCGTTGGAGAGCTAGCCCGGAAGATGCACTCTCTTCCTCATCTCGTGTGTTGGACTCCAGCCTACAGCCACGGCAACAGCCCTTTTCTCCCACGGCTATTATTTTGCCGCGACAACGTTCTTCCTTCGTTATGAAACACCTCACCCTGGCTTCGTCGGACCTAATGATGTTCTGTTCGAGCATTGGATACATTGCCGGTAACTCAGAAATGGAGTAGGATAAATCTCTCGGGATTTGGATGCGCCGTTCTGTCATTCGATGTCGGAAGTGCCCATGGGTTCGACCGCGTACGCAATAAGCCTCTCTGCGACTATAGAAAGCGCAGATACGGATGAAAATACAAGATGCTTCCCATCTATTGGTCGTTTGTTAGTTCTAGCGTTTCCTTATCGACGGTTTGTGCATTGAGTGGCTTACAGCTTAAGTTCCCCACAGCTCTGATAATCCATTAGCGATGTACGATCGAAGGTTTCAGACCACTTAGTCCAAGGATCTCCGTTTTGTGGCTCCGAGACAAGGCACCTGGTTTCACATTTGCAGTTGTGTAGCCAATCCCCCGCTTCGTATATCTCCGACCTGTTTGTTCCGATCATCCAGGTTCCCCAAGCGATCCAGCATACTCCTGTCTGCTCTTGGACTAGCAAGACCCACCTTGACGGAGTCAAATAGTGCATTATAATAACATCGCTGTCTTGATCTAACAAATCAACTGCAAAGTAGTTGTGTCCTTTTTCTGTATTTGATGGTGGCAGGGTAACCTGAGACTGGTTTTGGAGATGCCTGAGTCGGGCATGTTGGCCTCTGATTCCATCAGGCCATCGAGGCTCCGGAGTCCCACCACTCGAGGGGAACAATGTGCCCTGGCTCCGCAGATAAATCTCAATCCCACCATCTGCATATGGTCCCCATAACATGGTGTATAAATATCTGGAACAACGCGCAAGTGCAAAGCGGTTGAACGGGAAGGCGATCAACCCAGCCTGGGGTGAAATATCGAGGAGCTTCGAGAACATGAAAAGGATATCATAAGGTAGTTTTTCAATAAACGACTCCATTTCTTCGTCAGAACTGGACGTGCTTCTGATCCTCCGTATTGTCAGAAACCTGCAGAGATGGTGGCTCTTTTAAATTTTTAATCTTGATTTGAATATAAAGCTACTAAACTGTCTCTAACCTATTTAGGCGCTTCATCGAATGCTAAGGAGAAGATAGTCTCAATTACTATTTCATTTTCGACTGGTCGACGCACGATACAATAGATAATACACGATCATAATAAAAAATGATTAATATGTGATACTATACTAGTAGTAAATGTTCATTTGTGATATAGACGTTTAAGGATGGCAGATTGAATTACGGGTGGCATAATGATTAAAATGATGGATATTATGGCGGATAATACGTTGGATAATATACTCGATAATATACTCGATAATATACTCGATAATATACTCGATAATATACTTGATAATATACTTGATAATACGCTGGATAATATGCCGGATAATATACCGGGTAATACAGCGGATAATATGCCGGATAATATAGTTACGATATGACGCAACAGTACGCTAGAAAGCTCCCTTGGACCAACGGTGTGCCGAGAATGTGGATGGAAGAGCCCATGACCAATGATTTCTCAGTCCTGAGTGTTGTCAGCTGTTGTATTTTTGCAGTGACGACGACGGGAGACATGAAGCTTGTGAATCGAGTCCAAATGGTACTCAAACTCAGTCCTCATGCTAACCGCGACCTGAAAACTGCATCCAGGAAACGGGCAACTGTACGCCTCGCTGGCATGTCGCAAATGGATCTCATTACAATGCCGCCAAAGGTTAAATTTGTTCCTATGCGAATGTGTCCGCTTCACAAAAGAATTGGCGGGATCGTAGAAACAAAATGGACAGTTTAGATGTCCAATATCAGTTGATAAAGAGCTATTAGAGTTAATATTAGTATTCTCTCCTGGTGAAATACTAGATATATCTTTTCTGCTGCTTTCTTCACTCGTGGAAGTTGTAGAAGGATTCTCAGAGATAGCCGTCTGACTTGATGCCAGGATTAGTTCGAATTCGTCCACGTCATATATCATACTATAGTCCATATCCCCGGCGATGCAGCAATTTTCACCTCCTGAACTATACTGCTTCGGCGAGACGAGGTCTGATAGCCGTCGTGAGCGCCGTGCAACCTTTGGAAGGTTATCTCGTTGGCGACATAGTGATATCATCGCGCTAATACACTCGAGGCGTTTTTTGCGCCGATCTCCCGCCGTATCAGTCTCGAGAGGTTGTTGGAACAGACATCTGGCCAAAATCTCGCGCTCCTTCGAAAAGTCGCTATTTAGTAAACCATCGCTAGACTTCTCCACAACCCCGCATCTCTGTCTTTCAATTTCAAGTGTCCCACTATGAGCAAAAAAGGATTTCCATGCCTCACGGTGCGCTTGTTTTTTGCACCTGACTTTGATCGCGTCCCTCTTTCGCTTCAATTCCTCCAGTTTAGCCTTGTACTTAGAGCCGATGATCGGACGACCAAGCAATTTTCTGCGAAGATTCTGATACCGAATATCTAACTCGAGATATTCGTCATCCTCGCACTTCCAGCCCTCCATCTTCTTCTGTACTTCAATTTTAGCTCGCGGATTCCTTCTGAGTCTCATATGAGTAGCGAGTTGATATAGCTGCTGGTCCGACGGCCTTCCGAGAAATGCGCTTTGAATATCCGGGGCGAATCGGCTCGTATAAAACTGATTGAAAACCTCACTGCTGCCGTGGCCAAGAGCACGGTTCCGGCGTGCGTCTGAGATAATACGTTCTCCTACTCGTGCTATAGATTCTATTCATCTGTCAGCTTAGGCCCAATTGAAAAATCAACCTGTGATACGTACGATCCATTGCCTCACCAGCGCCGCGGCGAAAGATGTACAACTTCGTCCAGTTCACAAATCCAACTTCTTGTCCTAGATTACGAACTTGTGTGTTTATCGTGTCGTAAACCTCCGCTTGAGATCTCGATATCTCGGGGCCCCTTGGCGTTCTGATTGCTCTTCTGATTAAAGGCGTATCCCGAATAGAATCCTTCCAATTAAGTTCAAGACTATCCATATCCTTGGGTATTTCATCGACAAACAAATCTTCGGGCTTCCTTATGTGCTTGCTATCAAAAGCATCGTCATCAAAGGCTAACGCGACGACGTGACTAACAATATCAAAGGCCAGCGGACTGTCCACTTCCATAAGTACGTATGCAATACTACGATAGTTAGTTAGGTTCCTTTATGTAAGCGGGGCCTTTAACTTACGGTTCGCTTTCGTTCTTCTGTCCTTTTTGTAACCGATTGTCTAGCATCAGGAGAAGCTTTTGCCCAGTCGGCTGATTTGGATCTCGGACCTTTGAGAGGATCAGATCTTTATACTTGAGACAATCTTCCCGGTCAATAAATAAACTCGGTCGAGAGCCTGTCGCACAGGCTAGGAGGATGTATAAAGACAACTGAATGCGGCAGCGTTCGATCGGAAAAATCGTTTCAGACTGTTTCCAATGATGGCACAGTAACAAAAACATATCATCGGCATTCGCGACATCCTTCACATCTGTACTTTCTTCGAGATCGTGTAAATTTTTCATCTCCACCCGGATAAACTAAGAAGCGGTGGTTAGATGACTATAGAATTCAGAAGCTGGATCAATGAGAAGGGTGATAGAATACCTCTTTAACATCGTCGATGCCGGGAATGTGGAGACGCTCGCCGAGTTGATGCTTATACATCATTCTAAGATGTCGGCTTGAAACGAGGACCGATGATAGCTTCGTCATCCTCCCAGTTTCGAGACGCCAGCGCAGAAAACACCTCTCTTCTATTTTGTCCATTTCTTTGAGATGTTGGAGCGGGTCGGCTTTCTCCATCCCTTTAGAGTATCTACATAGAGTTCTGTTAGTGGCTTAACAACGGAAATTCGGCCGAGGTTTTAGCATGAGATGACGGACTGGCACCATTGCTTCCAAACGTAATCAGCAATCTTTTTGGATTTTCCTTTCAGAGCATGTTTGATAGTATCGCCTGTTTCAACCTCACGGATTTTCCGACATATATCGACATCATTTCGAAGGGAAACTTGAAAGTCATCTTCGATGTCTGAGAGCATATCATCCGTGAGGCTATCTTCGCTATTAAAATAATCCATAGAGTATATATTGATATTGAGAGAGATAGAAGGACAGGAGAAGAGAGAGGTGTGGAGTTAAGGTTAAGGGATGGGGAAAAAAAGATGTATGTGTGTTTGTGTGTTTGTGAGAATATGTGTGTTTGTGAGAATATGTGTGTTTGTGAGAATATGTGTGTTTGTGGGGGAATGTATGTGTGTGTTTGCGTGTTTGTGAGAATATGTGTGTTTGTGTGTTTGTGTGTTTGTGAGAATATGTGTGGGAATGTGTATGGGGGAAGAATGTGTGTGTGTGTTAGAGAAGGGTGTGTGTGAGAGAGGAATGTGTGTGTGGGAAAGTGTATATGTGTTAAGAAGGAACTTTGTTTGTGATATGGATAGAAAAGAGCTGGTACCTTTTTTAGGAAAACATGCTCCTATTTAAAGTCCAACCTACTTACAACCACTACACAGAAATTGATACTCTAACTCGTAAAATCATTTTATTTTGGTTATTTGAGATAAAGAAAAAAAAATCTTTTAATAAAGGTGATGAGGGAAAATATATATCATTATCCTAGTTGGAAAACAAAGGTGGTATGGGGTGTTGTTTATATATTTTGGAGAGATTAATAATTAACAAAAATTATTCAATAAAAAGTTATTATTATGTAGTTTTTAAATAAACTATTAAATTTCGAAGTTTAAAATCACTCTTAACAAATTGATACTTATATTCCCCATTCTATAAATAATATTGATAAAATTCTCCATTAAGCTTTTGTTAATATTAAAAATACCTTCCTAATAAAAGATTTTACCATAACCAATAATATTATTCTTTAATAAAAAAATAATTAATATCTAAAAATTAAATAACAATTTTTTCATCATTATTGTTTTAAATCATTGACTCAAAAATATTCATTTAGATATCAAAGATAAAAACTTATAAAAAATTTTCATAAACAATTTCGAAGATTCATTATTAAATATCTTCAATAAAGTTTTTCTTTTAAAATATCATCTTAAATTCGACAAATTTCTTTTAATCCTTTGTTAAAATCTTAAAATTTTAATTAGTATTATAAAACTATTTATATTAATATATGGTATTCCGTTGGTTTTTTGGGTAATTATCCCTAAAGTATCCAATTTTATTATAATTCCAACATAGCAGCATATTAAATTTTAAACCCTTTTTAGATTTATTATACAAATATTATTATCATATATTATTAAAATCCATAAATACAAGCCCAAAAATTTGATTAAGGTGTATTCTTCCATCCTTACCACATTTCCATTATCCATTATTATCCTTCTTATTTTTCTTACCTCCAAAATTATTAAAATTATTATTATTCTTCTTTTTATTATTATAAAAAAATTAGTTAATACAGATTTTAAAATTAATATCATCAATTTCAATAACATATTATTACATTTCCATACAAATCATATCAAAGAGGTTTTTATTTTTTTGTTTTTTTTTCTGAATGTAAATATATTGTTGGAGTTTAGTCTTAAGTCTTTTTTTTGTTCAGTAGTAAAGATTACCATTATTTTATTTAATTAAAACTACAAGTTTGTTGAATTCTTAAAAATAGTTTTAAACAAAATTAATTTACTTGAGAAAAATAATACTTTGTCATATATGAGAGACTTTATCATCTTCTTTACACTGTTGTTTAAGAAATTTGGTAAAAACATTGTAGTTAATTATAACTTTGATAACGTACTCTTCTTATTCCTCAATAAATTTGGAACAATATTATTAATAAATGATGTAAGTTTATAAGATAGTATTTTCGAGGTATATTTCTACAAAAAAAATTTTGGTTTTATTATCAGGGAATTGTTTGGTTTAAAATTAAAAATAAATGTTGAACTATTGAAAAAAATGATCAAGTTTTCCAAACATTCCATTAAATTTAGTTAAATCACCAATTCATAATGATTTTATGCTGTTAAGTTGTTTTTGGAGTTTGTTACGTTTTTTTTCTATCTTCACTCCTTCCAAATCTATGATGGAAATTTTGGTAATAACTTCCTCAATATCTTAGTTGTATTTTTTTTACAAGAATTCCAATTATATTTGTAATTCTTCGAGAATTTTAGAAGAAAGGGAGTTTTTTGGTTAAAGATTGATAAAATTTCCTTTTTTACTGTTGGTAGGATTGATGTTTATTTGTTCAGTAGACATGTTTAATATTACTAACAAATTATTAATATCTGTACTGAATTTTCTTATATATTTGTTGCACATGTTTTTTTGTGGTCTTTTCACAAATTATATTTGAATGCTTAATTTAATTGTTATAATTTTGTTTTGGGATTCTAGTGGTTTATAAACTTTAATAGACTCTTCATCTTCTCTGATATCAGTTTTACTTTGTAGTTCAAGATTAAGGCTTACTTGACTTACTAGTAATTTGGTTTGTGCTACAGCGTATTTAACTACTCTTTGATTTGCAAGTTATACTAAAGTTTCAAAAAAATCATAGAAATTTTTTTGATTTTCACTACTTATATCTATATCTAATAGACCATAACTTCCCAACATACACTACTTCCTTCCAAAAATTGGATCAGTTAAAGTGTTACACCTATCCCAAAATTCCTTAACAAAGTTTCCTAAAATAGCTTAACACTCTGCTGTGTTTCTCAACTCTATATATTCAGATCTCTCAGAGGATAGTATAGTATTCAGAATGAAAATATAAAGTTATATAAATAGAAAATATAACACAATAATTAGCTATAAAACTAAATACTATTCAAATAAATTGTAAACTAAGTTGATAAATTAACCGATAAAGTCTAAAAATAAACCCAAAAACTATCATCATTCAAAGGTCTATATATACATAAGAAAGTTCTCTATAAAACTTCAAAATACAACAAACAATTAGTCATAAGTGATATCAAGGTCATAAACACTCATAAAATCATGAGCACTTGCGACCATCCCGGCCACTAATGTCCAAACCTTGGCATCAAACCATGCATATATAACCAAATAATCCAGTTGTTAATATTTCCAACTATTCCAAGAAAATAAACATATATTATTCTCAAACAACACAAAATACATAAATACAAAATAAAAAACATATTCTCTCAAACAGAAAAATCCAAAAAATTATACAAAAAATAATTCTATAAACAAAACAAAAGCAAAAAACAGAAACATATTTATCGCACCAAGCCCTATTTTCTAATCCAGTTAGTCAATATGGCTGGGCCGTAACAGTATTAAAAATTAAAAAAACTTTTATAATTTTTTTAAAATTTTAGTATAATTTATAAATTAAAAAATAATTAAATATACTATAATATAAATTGAATTATTAATAAATTAGATAAATTTTAATTTTAAATTATAAAATAAAATTAATATTAAAAAAAATAAAAAATCTATTAAAATTTATAAATTATTAAAATTTTAAAATAAAATTATAATAATTAAATTAAGTATTTAAGTTTAATTTATAAAAAAATTATAAAAAAATATATATAATAAATATATAAAAAAATTTTAATATAAATATTAATAATTTATTAATAATATTACATATATCTACGAAATAAATAAATATTAATTTTATTAATAATAAAGAAGGAAATTTTATTAATTTTTAA